AGGGCCCGCGGGGGCGGGGTGGCGGCTGGGCCGGGCTGCAGGGGGCAGGCAGGCAGGCAGGGATGCAGGAGAGCTGTGTGAGTGTCTCAGTTTAAACGGCTGGCTGCCGGGCGGCGCACGGGGCTTCCCGTCCCGGGCAGCTGGGCGTCCCATCCTGGAAGCCACCACCCGTACTGCCACAAACATGCCGGGGACGCGTCTTCCACTAACCCTCGGGAGGCCCATCCCCCAACCTGCCCCAGCCAGCAGGCGCGCCCACCTGGCTGCTGCTGTGCCGCGGCGCCAGCCTCTGTCCCTGCTGCTGCCGGCGCTGGCGCTGCCGCGGCGGGTGCCGCTGGGCCGCCGGCCGTACCGGCAGCGCCGGCTGGCACGGCGCCCGCTGCTGCCTCCCCCTTTTCCACGGCTGCCAGCAGCGCCAGCACCTCTGCTGCCTCGCTCTCCCCTGGGGGCTCAACCCTGGCCTGCGGCTGCCCAGGGCTGGCCGGCGCTGCTGCGGGTGCTGCGGTCTGCCGCGGGGCCGTGCCGGGCGCGGCGGCGGCAAAGGCGGCAGGCACAGCAGGCGTCACCACGTCGCCGCCGGCGGTCGCCGGCCCTGCGGTGGCAAGCGCGGGTTCACAGCGGGGGCTGTTGAGGGCCATGCATGCAGCATACAGGTGCTCGGTCGAAGACAGGCAGTGGCAGGCTACGCCCCCTGCCCCGCCTTTTGCCGCGCCACGCTCTGAACACGCACCGGCTGTATGCGGCGCCGCCTCTTCCTCGCCCTCTGGAGTGTGCAGAGGCACTGGCGAGGCCTGCTGGGCAGTCGCCTTGGCCGCCGTGGCCTGCGCTGCTGCGTGGGCGCCTGCGCTGCTGCCGGGGGGCTCGGCGTGGGTTGGCGCAGCGGCGGCGACCTGCGGCAACAAAGCCCACTTTTGAATGGAGGGAGGCGGCGCGCTCCCTGGTCTCCGAGCCGGCCCTCGTGGCATCGGCAGCAGCCGCGAGGGGTTCCACCCACCAGAGGCACAGAGCTGGGGCCGCCCTCAGCATGAACCTGTGGCATGGTGCCCGTGGTGCCCATATCGGGCCCTCCCGCGTCGCTCATCACACGCTCTTCCCACAGCACCCAGCTGCTGCAGTCTGGACTGCTGATCGGGGGCTTCGGGCCAAAATTGAGCCCAGCCCCACAGCCGACTCACTCCCTTGGGCTGCTGTCGTTGCTGTCAGTGGCAGGTGTGGGCGATCAAGCCATGTAGTGGCTCCGTTGAGTGTATACACAGGGGAGGCAGCAAAAAACTTGCCGCAACTGTTCACTGGGTTTGGCAACTGCCGGTGCAGTGCTCGAATTTCGAAGGGGGACGTCGAATGACCATCTCAAATTGAAAGCTGCTTGCTTCTCCCTCTGCTTGACACGGTGACATAGCACACAGCACGGCTGACTGACTCTGTGCCCTGCACGGCCCGGCAGCCTTCATTCATTGTAGTTAGAGCTGTCGCAGGCCCCTGGCGAAACCGAAGCGCCCCGCGAGACGGCACCAACCTCGCATGCCAGGCATGGGGAACTTAAGCAGGCTGGCCTTGCATGGGGTGCGACATGAAGGGGTAGTGCTTCCATGCCAAATTACATTATGAAAGACCAGAGCAACGCTGGCAACCGCACCAAGCAGCAGTTGGGGCTGCACAACAAGCCACCTGCAGCGCACCAGCAGCGCCCGTCCACCCCCGCCAAGGTCAGTACCCATAGCCTTGGTAGCCTCCCGCCTGGTACGCTGGTGCAGCTGGAGGCGGGGCGCCGTAGGGCGGCGGCGCTCCGTAGGCGGGCGGCGGCGGCGCGCCCGGCGATGGCGCGCCATAGGCGGCATAGCCGGCGGGCTGCGCGGCATAGGCGCCGGCGGCGGGAGCACCGTAGCCGTATGCTGGTGGGGGCGCGGCTGGCGGGGCATAAGCGTTGTAGCCCTGCAGAAGGACGGCAGGCCGGCGAAAGCCCGACAGTGAATTAACAATGCTGCCAGTTTGATGAGTCTCAGCACAGTGGTTGGGTGGCAGCCCAGCCTGCACGGCACAACCCCCGGGCACACTGCCAGCCCTGCGCTCCCTCGCCCCGCAGCGCGACTCACGGCTGTCTGCACGGGCGGCGGCGCGCCGTAGGCCGGCGCTGCGGGCGGGGCGTATGCCGGCGCAGCGGGCGCCGCGTATCCGGTAAACGCCTGCAGGCAGGCAGCAGGCAGGCAGGCAAGAGGCCCCAGTCGTGTGGCGAGGATGCGGGACACCTTCCCCTGCAGCACAGCACGCAGCAGCCCAGCAGGCACCCACCTGTCCAACAACAGGCGCTGCCGCGTAGGGCGCGGGCGCGCCCCTGCCTGAGGTGCGGCCCCCATACTGCTCCAGCACCCGCTCGTGCTGCCGCACAAAGTCCTCGCCTGCGGGGGGGGGCAGGTGGTGGTTGTTGTGGCGGTGAGGGGTGGTGCTGGTGGTGCGGGATACGGCTGGTCATGGCAAGAGAAGGGCTGGCTGCCGATTGGGGTGGTGCTCAAATGGTGCTCAGAGCAGGTGCTCAGGCCAGGTGTTGAGGCCAGTTCTCAGATGTCACAGGGGGCAGGGAGAAGGAAAGGCCAAAGGCCACCCACCCGTGACGTGGAAGTGAGGGTCAAACCGCTGCGGCGGCGGCGCCACGCCATACGCCGCCGCCATCTGCGTGCCGTAAGCCGCCGGCGCCGCCGCCATAAGCCCGCCGCCATACGCCGGCGGCGGCGCCCCGCC